CTATTTTGGCTCATGTATAAGCATGAATTATCACTGACAATTAGTTAACTGGTTACAGTTCAAGGCATTTATTATCATTTTTTTTTTTTTGACAGGAATGTTTGGTTCGGTAATTTGTTGATAGTCCCTAAGTGAACCTTCGGGCGCTGCGGCCGGGAGCGGTGGAGAACCGCTGGCCGACATTAGCGTTCATAAATCGGATCAACCTTGAGCTAAACGCCGCTTACTCCGCGGAGCTCGAATATCGAATATCCAACTTGAAACTAACTTCACTGCGGTTAAATAAGGACGTTCTAATGCTTAATTAGAAGAGTAAATCATCTTTTCTCACCCCCCCCAAAAATAAAAAAATAAAAACATTTAAAAAAATGCTGGAGTCTGTTAGCAAAATATGTGATGAACCATTTGACAGACTTGATTCAAACTTGCAGAATGTAATAATTAGGTGAACATTTACAACTCATTAACCTTTGGGCTTGACCCAATTCAAGATGGCTGCCTCAGCTAATTGAACCAAACTATATAATAAATAATAATAAATCTTTTCTTTTTTTAAAGCCTATTAAGTTGGCTTAAAAAATCTTTTCAGCAGAACATGATTTTAGTTTAAAACTGTGACATGAAAGGCAGTGGGAAATATGCTTTTTTAAAATGATGCCTTTAAAGTTTAATTCTCTTTTTTTTTTCCTGACTGCATTTTTAAAGTTTAATACACTAATGAAGAGATGAGGCAGACTATTTAATTTAACTTTAAATTTTCCTACCCAGGACCCTCAAAATAGTTGGAATATGGTAGAAGAGAAAAAAAGTAAATTCGCCCTCTGCTGGTTGAAGTTCTTCATGATATTAAAATAGAAATGTATTTTTATTAAAGCATTTAGAAAGATTTATAATTTGTCATGCCAAACCTCAAAATGTCTAAACAGGAAAATCACAACATGCCATTTAGTCTGTTGTTTTTTTGTTAATGACAGTTTATTGTTACACCACATAAAATCTGATTGTCAGATGTTCTTATCAAACAAGAACTTTATTTGTTTTTGAACAGTGAGTCAGTCTCCTGCAGAAAGCTCCACCCTGATTAGATTTAGAAACAGGAGCAAACATGGTTTTTATTATGGTGACTATTTGAATACATTTAATATAAACAGCTTTATAAGCAGAGTGCGGACACGCTGACTGCACAGCTGCAGGTTTAGATTTAACGCTTTGATTGGCCTTAATGTCACCTAAGCTAAGCGATAAATGAATCCACCAATTATTACACTAAATCAGCTGAGCATCACTACAGGAGTTTTATCTGACCGAGAAGGAATAACTCAGAGAAAAACATACAAAACAAAAAGTTAAACCTGTCAGACTTTTTATCACCTTCTGGGTCAACATTCACGTCGTATTGTGAGGTGTTATTAACCTAAGAATAGTGTTTATTCACTGCAATGAAAGAAAACTCACTGGGGATTGCATTTCATTGACATACACCCAAAAACACACGAGACGGTTTCTGCTGCCACACCAGAGAGGAACACCAAGGTCATCAGAAGTTCATCTTTACAGAGACAATGTTTGCTGCTGTGTTTAAGTTAAAACTTTTACAGCTTAATGTTCAGAAAACATGTAATCTGCTTTAAGTGTTTTACTACAGGAATGTTTTTTCCCCCCATTTATCGCCATTTTCCTCTTGGCCTCTTTGGAAGTGTTTGCTTTCATATTTTTAGAGAACAGGGTTGAACCCTGTCTAATTAAAATTAACCATTTGATATTTAAAGTTTATTTTGATAAACACTGTAAAGTAGTTTTTTTTAACCCTAAACATTTTCAGCTCTATAATTTAGCTCTTAAAAAATAAAAATAATAATCTCAACTACAGTAACCTCCATGTTTTGGAGCAGGCTGGCTCGTCTCGGACTTAAAGGCACCTCCTTCCGAGCTTCACAAAGTCCAGCTGCTGCTGTTGTCTTTAATCAACTATCTAAACAGCCCACACATCTGACAACTGATCCGATTAGAACATTTCATCAGAACTGATTCAGAGGAACAGGCTTTGCTCAGAACGTTTCAACAAGTATGCAGAGACAAGCACAGTGTTAACCACTCAACAGTCCAGAAAGCACAGCTTTAACAGACCAAAGATCGGAACATTTTACATGATCCAAATCAAAAGCTTTGATGGCAATTCAGAACTATGAATAAATTCAAATAAATCTGCTCACCTAATTTGTTTTGAGAAACATTAAATCTCTAAGGATCAAACGAGTCATGTTTCCCAACACTACTTCTTTAGTCATGAATAAACCTATAAATCCAACTTGAATACTCCACTTCACACAGTGAAGTACCTTTTAAAAAAAAACATTATTGTAAGGGTTTCTCTTTTATAGCTCCATGGAAAACACTGGGACCAGGTATTACTTTAAAAGAGAAAAAAATACACTCATAGCAAACCACCGATTTTTTCCTCATGAAATCTTTAAACTGTTAAAAATTATTAATGATAATACCAGTAATCTTAAAACATACTGAATAAATGATTCAGTTCATGTAACACAGCACCTCATTTAAGCAGCTCCGTTACATGATCACCATCCATCCAAACCCTTAACGAGCTTATTACTGACCAATGAAAGCTGATAAGATCCATTTCTCCAGACACACTATGATCTCTGAACAGGAAGCTGCTTGATGCGCCTGAATTTAATTATCCAAATTTATGGCCCCCCTTTTTTTTTTTTGTACGCATGTGTGCCGACAAGAGTCCCACACAGCATTTTACTCTGGTGTGAATGCTGAGTGTTTAAACCTTTCTGAAAATTATTTCAGACAAACGTCCAGCTACAGCTTTAAAAATAAAAAAATTAGCATTTTCTGGGAAAATGCAGGGTGAATTCTGAAAGATGAATGACTTTGTTGAAGAAACTGAAACTGCTTTGCTACAGTTAAACGAGCAGAACAGAACTCAAATTAAAACTGAAGCAAAGTGTGAAAAATAGCAAAGATGGAAGATTAAAATAGTTAGACAAAAGTTTAAAAGGAGCATAAAAAGATAAAACAAAGCAAGTAAATAAAGTTTAAAATGGAGTTAACGATATCTCGGTGTATTTGAGGATTTTTGTAAATAAAAGTTAAACAAATAAAGTAAATGTTAGAAATACTGAGAGACGTGGTTCAGGGTTTCTTATCGAGCTGAATGTTTTGATAAACGAAGGTTAAAAACAGCACGAAGCACATTAATAGTTTGATGGCAAAAACACAAAAGTAACTGAATGGGAAAATGCTGAATCGACAGTCATAATAAAAACAGAAACGGAGTCATTGCCAGATGTGATGGTGTATTTTTCCACAAAGAAACTCAAACTTATTTGGAGGAAAGTAGTGTTTGCCAGCAACAGCAGCAGCAGCAAACCCACACAAAGTGCTTCTGTAAACTGATGACTGAACTGATAACACAGCCACCGTTTTAAACTTCACTGATCAATATTTATTTTTTTCTTTTAAATCCAAACAGTTGAAACTAATTTGATTTATTACAGTAAATGGCTCCAGCAGGATGCTGTGTTCTGCCCACAGAAGAAACAAAACACAAAAAGTCAAATTCAACATAAAACTCAGTCTGATACAAACTGACTAATCGGGGGGAGAACAAAAAGGCAGCGTTAGTACTCGTCTAAGTTATCTGCTTTGGGTATGGAAAGGCCTCGGTCCTTCAACGCTTGCATTTTGACTTTCTCCGTCTCCTGCTTGGCTTGCTGCTGCAGCCGCTGCTCCTCCAGGATCTCCTCGATGGAGACCTGCTGCAAGACGGTGTCGCAGGGTTTGTCCATGTCCTGCAGAGACACAAACACCATGCTTAATTTGAGACTCAGCTGGTTGACCATCCCCCAACATCAAGTTTTAGCCTGTCGTCAGCGCAGACTGGAAATGTTCATAAAGAGTAATCGCTGCTGAGATCAGCACAAATTAAAATTGATTTGGATTAATTATATAGAAAGGGTTTACTATAAACTCTTTTTGTTGTGATTCAAAGTTGTTTTTAATAAAAGCAGCAGGACAAGGGTTATTATTGCTCACTGCCAAAAGATGAAGGCAGGCAGACAAAGTGACTTTACATACGTCTACTCAGATTGCTGAATGGCACAAACATCATTTAGAGACAACACAGACCATAAAACAATGAATTAGCCATTTAAATATTTATTTCATGTCAATATACTGTATATTTTTATTACAACTTAATTATGACGCCCGTACTGTTTTTTTTCCCCCAGTGATTTTTGGTCAACCGTAGCACAAAAACAGCTGCACCAATCAACATGAAATTTGGCAGGACTGTAGATGAGTCTGACCTACACTGCACCAGCCAACGGTTTTACAATAGACCCCATATTTGAGGAGGGGGCTCCATCCAAAGAGGGGGTGTCTGGACATGCAAAAATGCTTATAACTCAGAAACTGTAAAAAAGCTTCAGATTTCTTTTGTTGTTTAGCTCTGATGAAGCGCTATCCATCAAGCCCACCAATCAGTGCCCCCACCGCCCCCAGACCCCCAATTTATCTGAAAAAGGGGGGTCTGGACATACAAAAATGGTTATTGTTCAAAAACTATTAAAAACATAGGAGATTCAGATTTATTTTGTTTAGCTCTGATGAAGCTCTATCCACCAGGCCCACCAATCAGTGAAGATTTTAATGAACTTTCAGAAAGGATCCACTGCATGGCTAACTCAAGTTAGCCATGCAGTGGATTTAAAGAAATTTAAAAGAAAAATATGCCACAATTTCCCATTTTATTCACAAAATTATAGGTTTATATTGAAACATCAGACCAAATGCATCCATTTGCACACGTTTATTTGCTTGATTCTCATCAACTCTGGTCTACCTGAAGTTTGCTTCAGAAAACAAACAAACAAACAAACAAAGTAAGGACTTACTATCTCTCCAAGCAGCACCACATTCTCTCCTCTCACGATGAAGATTCCTCTGGGGATGTCACCAAACTTTTTGCCCACGTGGATCCTCTCCACTGTCTGGTGAAAGACTAAATTGGCTGGTAAACAGAAAACAGACTTGTAAGAACACGAGTTCCAGAACCAAAGTGGGAAATGTAGATTTTTTTAAGCGGCCAGCTGTACCAAACTGATCAATGCTTCTCAGGTAACCAATCAGCGTCCTGCCATCCCGGAGCAGCACCAGGTGCTTCTCTGCGGGACACAAACACCACAAGAACCTTAGTTTGAACGTGTTATTGGCTTTTGGGGAGCATATTTTAAAGTCTATTGTCAGATCTCAGACGTAAATTAAACTATTAAAGCCAAATGTGCCTGCAGCTTACTGTCAATGTCGTCTATGAGGCTCGCCGTCCCTGGTACGTAGTTCATCTTCTTGGAGTAAAGATTTTTCTCTTCCACTACCTTGACGTACCATCAAGCCATGAATGTTTTAATATATATTTCTTTCAAGGCACGAGCACAGGAAGTGCCTTTATACGTTCTCGGGATAAACTTCCTGTTCACGTTTAACCCTTTGTGAGCCAACTCATGTGTAAATATCTAACTTTTTAAGATAAATTTGTTTAAGTTATTTTTAAGAAGCGAAAAGATAAATAGTTTTGTAAGGCTTTAGTTAATATAATATATATATTTATATTTTAGACAGTTTCGACATCTGCAGAAGAGCATGTGACACCAAAGATCGTCTATGAATAAAGATCGAGTTACTGAATCAAAAAAGAGAGGGGTCTGAGTACGTTTATGTTTCTCCATAAAAATAAGGTTTTTATTTCTGGAAGGATTAATCATTTCTATCATGTCACGTTCATCACCATTTTTAGTCACTGCAATGTAAAAAGCAGTTCCTGAAATTGCTCGTTTCACAATATCAAAAAGCTGCACCAGAGTGAAGCATCTGTATAGTATCGGTGCTCTTTGTTTTAAAGAAACGGTACCGCTTTTCCGAGCTCCGCGTCATTCAATCATTTCCTGATTTCAGTCAGTCGATCTCCACTACAGAGTAGAAACACTTTGTGTTAGCTGACGGCTCCGATAAGTAAGTCTTATGTTGTTAAATATTTTTTTATTTACGATGACACGTGACGGGACGGCTGAAAGGGAACGCGCGTAGCTGATGCACCACCATCATCAATGCACTCAAACCATAAACCTGGCTGGCCCTCGACTTGTAACTCGGAAAATAATCACGGAAACTGGAATAACACCATGGTGAGTTGAAGATAAATGCTTCAAACGACTACTCTTTGTGAACGAAAGTGGCTGCAGTGTGTTTAACATTTAAAATAAGACGTGTATTTGTGTATTAACCACACCAAAAGTGACACTCACACATATCTCTGTTCGTGCTAGCTGGACGGCTAACTCTAGCTAGCTGCCATTATTATGTAATAGTTAAAACAATATTGTTAGTTAAGCACTTACTCAACTTTTTAGTGTTTTTGTTGATGTGCCAACACATTAAGGCTGGATGATTTAAAAGCAGAATGTATTTTGTGTTTAGCAAAGTATTTCCGTTTTGATGTACTAAACATCAAACTCCATATTTAAACGTTTTTAGTCGTTTTTATAATTTAATAAATGTTAAGGGCTACACAGCCAAGTTGAAAGTATGCTGTTTACTGTAAACTTGCATGTACTTTTAAATGGTATGTTTCAAATACTTCTACACATGAGCATTAAATAAAAACTCTTCTTCACAGGATGCTCCTCAGTATCCAGGTTATCCTTCACATTACTGGTATCCACAGTCTCATTCTGCTGAGCACTATGCAAATACTTATCCCTCAGGATCAGATGTTCAGCCGCCGTACAATCCCCAGGTATGGCACATTATGCAACATGACCTTTGCCCTCAAGCTCTAAGGAAATGGTTAATCTATCCTCCATCCTTCACATTTCTAAATAATCAACTACTGTGCCAAAACTGTACATCCATGCAGATAAAAATTTTCCCTGCTTATTTGCTGTATGTGTAGCTGATGCCTGGAGGGTATCCAAATGGCCATGGAGTCTACAATCATGCCCAAAATCAGTATTCAACAAGTGGATTCCACCCGTCGAACCCGTTCTACTGCGCTGACCCTCCGAGAAGCTCCTATCCAAACCAAGGGTGTCCAGCTGAGCAGAGCGGTGGGCCATCTGGACAAGCACACACTCAGCACCAACATCATCACTACCCTGGTCCACACTGTCAAGGCGTGAGTTTGTTTAAAGAGTAACTTACCCCAAAAGTAACTTTTTTTAGCTGATAAGCTGTCTAGAATGTGTCTAAAATGTTATATACTTCTGTTTCTGTGCTAATTGTGATGTTTTTATGCGTATTTGTTCAAATCTGTAATATTTGGTCTAAAAACGTGTTTTTGCTGCTCATATGGG